GAGCTGAGTTCGGCCTCATCGCTGCAGTTTGCGGGTTGAAATATTCTTTCGGGAAATCTGTCGTTGTTATAGTAGACGGCGTAAGTGCATACCATATGAAATTGCCTACTAAACCAAGCGGTACTGAAGCCATAGGAAACAGCGGACGCAGTGTTTGGTCAGTAACGATAAACACCGGGTGGACCTCCAGAATAAGGCCCTTCGCAATAGCATAATTCTTCACACCATTCACAGCTTCCTCAAAAGTGCATATTTCCTCTTGCCTGTCAGTTTCAAGAACCTTCTTCAACTCAGCATTTGGTATATACAACTTCGGTCGACGCGCTTCACAATCTGATTTCTCTATTGTTTTGTTTTGAACCGGTGCTCTCCCCAGCGAGATCAACGGAGATATGAGCGCAGGAAGCTCATCGTAATGAATGATACCTCTTCTACCAAAGACCACCGCAAGCTGATCATCCGTCTGGAAAGTCCCTCGGGGCCTCTTTAAACCGTGTAGCCTCGCATAACCCCATATACTAGTGTAAAGATGCGACAGAGTACATTCACTGTTACCAATAATACGCCGTAAACCCTGCGATGTGACAGTATAGATAGTTTGGTGAGTGCTCATGGGAAAATGTTGAATTCTACGCTCAAAATCATCACCCTTCCCGTTGACCCCTGATTATGGACATTCACTTCGACTCAAACACGAATACGATTATCGTTCTGATCATTTCATAGTTCATATGTAAACTTCTACACTCATCGAGGGAACTCGCAAGCCCAGCTGGTGAAACCGACGACATATATACTCCCAACACCGACAACAACTGTATAACGATTCCGAAAATTTTACCAGGTAACCCTAATGGAAAAAATATAATTTTCCCCCAATCGAGATTTCTCAACCATGAACGCGGAATTTCTAATAGGATATACTAAATAAATAACGAAGTTGGAATACCATAATAGTCAACAATATTCGTTGATCGAAGACAGTATAATAGAGTTTCACCCCCGACTCGAAAACACGAATGGAAGATGCATTCCAATTGCACCACATAGCACGAATATCGGGTTTTTTACAAGGTATTACGCCACTTCACATAAAACGGGTTTTGAAACTTTCTTAACAATATATCATCGTTGAGTTTGGATACTATCGCCTCGTACCCTAACGTCATCCAGCCCTACAAATCTCTTACTTCCAGATCAACACCGAGCGAGAACCAATAATAAATCCTCAACTGCTGCCGCCGCCGTCTACCACCAGTTGCGAACAGGAGTCGGCGCGTTGAACGATACCGTGGAGTTTCACGACCGGTGCGATATGAAAAACATATTTCACAATTCACTTCGCATAAAATAATTGTTTTATCGGTCGCGGAAATTTACGCCTTTTCACGTCAAACGTGTCGTGAAACTCCAAAAAATCTTCGAGAGTTTCATCCGCATTCCAAACCACATCGAGTTTCACCACTCCTCCACATCGGCCGATTCATTCACCATAGCGCGAAAATGAGTTGACGAAGCGATAGAACTGTACAAGGGACAATATACTTCCCAATTTCAAGTATCAATTCGAGGGTGACTGGTGACACCGCCTTACCAAAAATTCCACCCAGCGTCGGAAAAATGAGTTTAGAAGCTTATATACAGATTCTTATAAAAGCGCACAGAAACTATGAAGACTTTCCAAAAATTTTCCTCAGAAATTTCACAAGTGTGCCCTACATATGTAGCTGACAATATGCATATTTTCCCACACCGATTCCACCTCTAGCATAAATACGCTCCTCATTATCGGTCCTTGATAACGAGCAACACATAGTTGAATCATCACATCTCACCACCACCAGGAGCTCCTCTGGACTTATCGTCACCGACTTCAAACCAAAAGAAGCAATTTGGATATCGTTCCTGGCGAGCATGAGCAGCATTCGAAACAATAACAATTTTACAGAATTTATAAAAACCAATCTCCATGGTCATGTTACTCACATAATATATACACATCGCTTCGGACATGCGAAAGACACACCGGGAACCTATAATGTTCCCGGGAGGAACGTTCTTCAATCAGTTTCCCATGTAAATGTCATCACATTGATAACATCATTTTCCCCACTATTATCAAACCCTGGGAAACGTTTTCTCTCAGAGGTAGATGAGTTCCTGGCCAAGACTTACACTGATACGCATTACCAGTGTTTTCCATATCACTAGGGTGAAGAAATTTCAATGTTCCCAGTAGGAACATTCGACAATTTCCCATGTAAATGTCATCACATTAGTAACATCCCTTTCCCCACTGTTATCAAACCCTGGGGGACGTTTTTTCTCAAGAGTTAGATAATTCCTTGTAAGGACACGCCCTGATGAATGACTACATATGTTCGTAAAAGACGATACTCTCCAAATGTGGTATGTAAAACTACATTCCTACACGTGATCAATCTCTACAAAAAAATAATTTTTAGCATTTCGTTGTTTTTATGGCGATAAGAGTCTTCTCAAAATAAGGACGATTATACGCTACCCTAAGATACCCAATTTCAGTGTTGGAATATCATATTTGCTTCCCTCACTGATGATACAACCAGTGTAGAAATTTACAGGAATCAATGACAAACCACATAATTTCCATATTCCCATATTGCGTCCATATTTTCGCACAGTGCTTCAGTTACACGAAACCCTCAAAAGTTCAGTTGAGAAACATTGGAGTTTCTTCACCCTAGTGATATGAAAAACACTAGTGAAAAACATATTTCACGACTACGGCATATCACCGCGTTGAATATCGCGTTCTTCACCACCTCACGTGAAACGGGTGATCGTGAAACTCCAATCAAGCCAGTACGATACAATTAACAACCTCAACGCTTCCTCATATGCCAAGAAACTGAAGCATTCAAGTGTTTACTTCTCACGGAAACAACAGCAGTTTTACTCCTCCGTAGTCGTTGCTTGTTGTGAAACGATTTTACCCACAATGTCATCGTCACGGAAAACTTGGAAGTCTTCACCGTCTAACTTCAAATTCATACCACCAAATTCGGGGATAATAACTTTATCACCGGGCTGGACCGAAATAGGGATCTGAAAATACAAACACTGTACAGGTGTATTGATGATGATGATGATACACACTGTATAGACAACGACGACGACAATACAACTGTATTGATGATGATGATACAGATACACACTGTATAGACAACGACGACGACAATACAACTGTATTGATGATGATGATACAGATACACACTGTATAGACAACGACGACGACGACAATACAACTGTATTGATGATGATGATGATACACACTGTATAGACAACGACGACGACAATACAACTGTATTGATGATGATGATACACACTGTATAGACAACGACGACGACAATACAACTGTATTGATGATGATGATACACACTGTATAGACAACGACGACGACAATACAACTGTATTGATGATGATGATACACACTGTATAGACAACGACGACGACAATACAACTGTATTGATGATGATGATGATACAGATACACACTGTATAGACAACGACGACGACAATACAACTGTATTGATGATGATACACACTGTATAGACAACGACGACGACAATACAACTGTATTGATGATGATGATACACACTGTATAGACAACGACGACGACAATACAACTGTATTGATGATGATGATACACACTGTATAGACAACGACGACGACAATACAACTGTATTGATGATGATGATACACACTGTATAGACAACGACGACGACAATACAACTGTATTGATGATGATGATACACACTGTATAGACAACGACGACGACAATACAACTGTATTGATGATGATGATACACACTGTATAGACAACGACGACGACGACAATACAACTGTATTGATGATGATGATGATACACACTGTATAGACAACGACGACGACAATACAACTGTATTGATGATGATGATGATGATACACACTGTATAGACAACGACGACGACAATACAACTGTATTGATGATGATACACACTGTATAGACAACGACGACGACAATACAACTGTATTGATGATGATGATACACACTGTATAGACAACGACGACGACAATACAACTGTATCGACCACCGAGAAGCGTCGAAAGCATACCTCACATGGTAGCCTTCCTCTATCTCACCTTAGTTCCATCATTGAGGATCCTACCGCTACCAACAGCCATGACTACAGCCTGGTTAATAGTCGGCTTGGCAGCCTCGGGCAGGAACACTCCTGTAGCGGTCTTCGACTCCACACTGAACAACAACCATACAGTACTTTCCTACAGCCGTACAGCAGCAAGAGCGAGGTTGTCAAGTGCAAGCGCGTATCACTCTAGAAGGGTCCTCACCGAAGTTTCTGCACTAGGACTCGATCGAGGAGGGGGATGAAGCGGCTGGCAACCCTAGAAGCAGCAGTAGCGGCGTGTACTACAGACATGGGCGTATCGATCCAATAAAAATCACCTGTACAACCACCGTAGACGAGGGCAAGGTTATCTAAACGGAGTCCATCATAGATTGTTCAATGAGCAGTCAGTTGAGGAAATACAGGAAATCCAAGGTCTTCAAATCTCGCTACGCCCAACTGATCGATTATGCTCAACTCCTATTTTTAAGGTGCGCCTTGAGTTCCAAAGTCATAGGCCCAGTATTACTCCGCTTCGCTGTTATAGTGACTGCTATCCATCTTCATGCAAAAGGAGTGGTTGTGCATTATATCTTTTAGTTCCTTGTTTAGACACAAATGACATTTACTAGCCCGATACGAATCTTAGCACTAGCATATATCTTAGCATATCTTTGCATATATCTTTGCATATATCTTTGCATATATTATGCTAATTAGGTTTCCGCAAAGTCTCGCACTTTTCATAAGAACTAGCGTAGAAGTGTAACACATATACGTTAAAGGCGTAAGATTTTACGCTTAACAACAATCGCTGAAATATTTTTCAGCGTAACAAACAGTGCAATCTAATGAGCTCTTCCCCTGGCAACTACGCGGCGATGACCATTGCGGAGCTCCGAAGTATTCTGACTAGAAATGGTGTTAAGGTGCCTCAGTCTAGTATAAAGAAGGCAGTACTGGTAAAGTAAGTGTGTGGTATCTTGAGGGTGACCGAGGAAGATACAGAATAGGCCCATGTTATACTTGCGCGCATTTTAACAAATACATCTTCGTATATCAAAAAGCCGTGCATTTGTGGTATAATAATTTCACTTGAAATTCTCCAACTTTAATCGGACTTAGACTTTTCAAGTTGTACTTTTCTACCACGCGCATTCTAACTGTATGCTGTCGCCGATTGTGATGACATCAGGGAAATGCCTTATAACGCAGCCTGATTATACCTAGTTGATTTTCAGCTGAGAGATTTTTTCACTTGAGGGGGACACATTGCGTGCTGCGGAAAATTGCGGTAATTATGGTGCATCAGCATTTTCTAATGTGAATTTTTCATCGAGAATTTATTATCTTCGTCAACGAACTAACACGGGGTTATATACTGGGTGATAATTGTCTCGTTCGCCCTCATATCTCAGTAATGGTTCCGAATATTATAGTTTCATTCGAGTATATAATATTTATTCTCTGTTGAAGTATGAGAGAATACGGTAAGGTTAGTGTGTTGGTCGCAAGCGGAAGTTTTGGTTGGTTTTTGGACATTTTTATTTCAAGTCGTAAGGCTGCTCCTGAGCTCAGTTGTTGAGGAAACGCAGATTTTTTTTCGAATTCTCCTAAGAAAAAATACGCTGTTCACTTGTGTGACATGTGTTGTAATTATTTTTACTTTTTTTTCTGTTTAGCATGTGTTTGAAGGAGTTGGGTCCGGTCGTTTCAAGAAGAGAATCTTCTATGGCGAGTCCGCTACCACAAACGCCGTCGAGCTCTGGAGGAAAGAGTAAGCGCAAAGTTGAAAGAATATATATGTTTGCTTTGCTCAGCTTCTTGAAACGGTCGGTAAAAACATATATTATTGGAGTTCCGCAACTCGTTAAAGTGAAGTGGCGTAAAACTCGTTTCTCATCATTATATTTTTTCCAGAAGCTTTTCGTGGGGTAAAAGTGTACAGAAATCAACAAGAATTTTCTGAATTTTCATAATTGATATTTCGTCTTGTATAGAAAAGCTTCGCTCCGCCTTTTTTCCCAGGCCCTGTTAGATCGCGTCGCGGTTCATCTAAAGGGGATAGGGGTTCGAGAGTGAGTAAGAGCTCGAGAGTTGGTCGTGAAAGGTCAGTAAAATTGAATATTTTTCTGCGAATTTTGATTTTTTGAATTTTTTTTCTCGTCGTGCTTACTTGAGCGTAGTGAAAAACGGCGATGTGAAGAATACTCGTTGGAGTTTCAAGGAAAATTGAGAAATTTATGGTTATAACAGATGTATATAGTAGCAATAATACCTTTCACAACCCGTTTTACGTGAAGTGGCGTCGTAAAACTCGTTGAAAAACGCGATATTCGCGGTGATATGCAGTTTTTCCACTAGTGTTTTTCATATCACGGATCGTGATACTCTGAAGAATAATCTCAACACATGCATCGCGTGTGTTAAGCTCCACTTCGCGTTTTACGGGTGGAATTGTAATGAGTTTATTTTGCATTGAGTTTTCATTTAGCATTTCTTTTTTAAATTTTCGTTGAAAATTTTTTTTGGCCTATATAAAAAATTTTCATGTTTGGAAATTCACACAGATGGAATATGTAATATTCGTAATTTAGTACTAGTCGACCTACGACGAACTCTCGAGGCTCTGCGGTGACGAGGAGGAGTTCGAGAGCGCGAACTAGCATCTCATCTGCGGTTGACAGTGAAGGTAATAGGAGGTGAAAAATTTGAAAAAAATGTTTTTTTTGCCAAAAAAGTGGGTAAATTATCAAAAATTTAATGAACTATCATGAGTTTAATGAAAATTTATGAGCAAAATATTTAATTGTCAGCGTCACTCGCCACAAAATTGTGTGTTCAGGAACTGACCTAGTAGATGTAGCTCGGATGTTCTCTAGTGATGAAGAGGAGATGAGCGATTCGATGGGGTAGGTGGGCAGTATGTGATTCGGGAGAATTGTGGTATAAGGCACGATCGCAGAAGTAGTGTGTCACCAACAAGGAGGAGTAGTAGAAGACGTAAATCGAGTGAGTTGGTAACAGCAGTGGTGAATTTCTCTTGTTTGGTTGTTCTTAGGTCGGCCTCCGAGTCGTAGCAGTGGAGTGTCGAGTATGGAAAAGGTGGTAGTTTGTGGATTCCGCGCGCCGTGAAATTATGAGTGATTACTTCTATTGGTTGTTTTGGAGTGGGAAAATATATATCACGACTACTGCACAGTGTGGGAAAATATGCACATATGTTGGTGACAATATGGAATTTCTGAGAGGAAATTTTGCAAAATTCTTGTTGGTTTCTGTACATTTCTACCCTAGTTTGTATATGGACTCCTATAATGAGTGAGGAAACTCCTAGGGTCAGCGAACATATATCACAACATTGCTACTGCATATCTCCGCGAATATCGCGTTTTTAATAGAGTTTTGCGACGCCACTTCACGTAAAACGGGTAGTTGTGAAACTGCATTGAATTTGTTATAGTTGCGTTTTACTATCAGTGTGGTGGTGATACCTTCAACAGTGCTCTTATTACTTTGTTTATTACGTTAACGTGTATATGATAGTAATATTCTCAATCGTTGGAGTTTCTTGCCCCTAGTGATATGAAAAACACTAGTGAAAAACATATTTCACGACTACTGCATATCATCGCGTTGAATATCGCGTTTTTCACCACTTCACATAAAACGGGTAATCGTGAAACTTTAATATTTCGAAACTACTTTCTCGTGTGAGAGGGAAAACATGAGTAGTATCAGTTCATGATGGAGTGTTTGTAGACCTCTTTTGAATCTTCGGTGGAGGAACCTAAGATACCTTCACGACGTGTGACGATATCGCCGCTAAGCTACTTACAGCCCTTGAAGGAAGCTCAAACGCGGGAGAGGTCCTCGAGAGTAATATGAGGGATGAATATCAAATTTTAGAGCAGCAGTTTTTGGGGGTTTGGGGATTCCGTGAAATTGTGCATATTTCTTCACATCGTTTTAAATCTACACATTTCTACACACGAAGAAATCTCGTACTAGGCGTATAGATTATTGTTTTACCAAGATTTTTTCTGCAGAATAATTATGGAGGTTGAAATTTTGAGTATATGTGAGGGGAAATTTTTTGGGGGGATTTCCTGAAATTGTGCATAGTTCTGCACACCGTTTTAGATCTCGCACTACTAGGCGTATATTTTGGTTTTAACAAGATTTGTTCTGCGGAATAATTATGAAATTTTAAATCGATTTCGGAATTGGTTTTCAGCCCTGGAATTACGATGTGATTCTTCGAAAATTGTTAATTTGAATTTATCAGGTTACTACTGCACTTGGCGTTATGTTGGTGCTCGCGCTCGCAGCTGCATACTGGTAGTTAATAAAAACGTTTCGGGGAGTATAAGAGGATTCAGGTATCTCCCCGGGCCGCGACCGATTTATTGCGATGATATTACGAAGGAGGATTGTGAACCATGCCCTCCTAACGCCGAGTGTCGCGGTCGTAGTATGGTGTGCAAGCCTTTGTTCAAGCGTGATGGAGATGTGTGTGTGAGAGATGAACGATTGTAGTAATGGGCGTTTTAAGAGGGGTAATTTATTCCGAAAATGTGATTTGAGGAATTAGCGATGTTTTGAGCGTTTATGTAGTGTTGAAATATAAAACTATGTGAGATGATGAAGAATTGTGGTAATCAGTATGAGAAAATATGGTCAGGTTATAAGAATTCGGTTTTTTGGTTTTTGTACATTTTTATTTCGAGGCTCCTGAGCTCAGTTGTTGAAAAAACCAGTTGAAGTTCAGGCTCGAAATTCGCATTCGTTGACGAGAAACGCAGACTTTCAGAATTTTCCTGAAAAATACACTGCTTATATTTCTCCATTACTGGTGATGGTTTTGGAGGAGTATATGCTCGCTTTTCGCAGCCGAGGTATAAGTGTGCAGAAAAGAAGGAGAATTTTCCCAAAATTTTTCCCCATTTTCTCGTATTGTTATCAACACACGTAGTTTACTATGTGCATACTTTCCCACACTTTATGGAGGAGTAATCGTTGATATAAAATTTGTTGAAATTGTGGTATAGGTATATGGCAGCCTCCCAGAAAACGAGGAGGATTTTCCGAAAATTTTCCCATTTTTTCATACTGTTATCAACTCACACGTAGACACATTGACCATGTGTGGAATCTCTTACGTTTTTTCGAAGACGAAATTGTTGATATAAATATTTGTGATCGAAATTGTGGTAAAGGTATATGGCGTCACATCACATGGCAGCCTCTCTAGCTGAGCACCTAGCGGAGCGTCGGGGGGATTATGAATGTTATAAAACTCGGTATCAACTTGACCAGGACGAGGCTAAGAGGTAGTGAGAGGATGGTTACGGTTTGGGTAGTGGATGATCGTATTTTCGGGAAATTCGCAATTTTTTTTGATAATTTACCGAATTTTTTTGGGAAAAAATGCCCATTTTTAACATTTTCCACAGACTGATTTTAAAGAGTCACGTATCGTTGTCGTATATTCAGAATTAATGTCGTTGATTGAAATCGGTACGTTTTTGTTGAGACCGGTTACTTGTTTGAAATTTTGGGTGATTCATTAGAATTAGTCGGGCGAAAAAAGAGGATTTTTTTCTTACAAAAATGCACTTTTTTTGTTTTTTTCCGAATTAATTACCTTTAATTATTATTAAAGAATCGAATTAGATTACCTTTTTTTAATTAATTACGAGTCGTTATCGCGTAGTTAAAATGTTGAAGTTGGGAACGATAATAATATGAATTTTCCTGAAATTTTCCGACATTTTCCTGAAGTTTTTCGAAATTTTCCTAAAATTTTCCGAAAATTTTCGACACTGTTCTATGTGTTTTTAGATATCTCCGTGTAAAATGTTGGGAGGCGAGAAGACTTGGGAATAAGGACTTCGAAGCGGCATTTAAATTGATGTGTAATAGGGGCTGTTGATATATGCGTGGGTAATCTCGGAACTGTATTACTTCACACGTACTGTATAGGATTATATACAAATTCGTATAGAAGTGAAAAGAAATGTGAGAAGAATTCCGCGAATTTTTTTGATAATTTTTGTATTGTCTTCAACACATGTAGTTGAGCATCAATATAATATGAATTATAATATGACGTTGGAGTTCCAGTGGCGTAAAACTCGGTGAAAAACGCGATATTCGCGGTGATATGCGGTAGTCGTGAAATATGTTTTTTTTCATATCACTAGGGTGAAGCTCCATTGAAATTTAATTTAATTTTATATATGTCATTTTGGAGTTTCGTTTGTTTTACGTGAAATGGCGTAACACTCCACGTGAAAAACGCGAAAACACTCGGCGAATACTACCGGGTGAATTATCTCTTTTCGCAAAGTGAAATATGAAATATGTTATTCACTAGTGTTTTTCATATCACTAGGGTGAAGCTCCGATGGATATTTTACGCATCGGAAAAACTCGATAGTATTTTGTAAGAAAATACGCACATGGTCATTTCCATGATGATGACGGTATGAAATTTTGGGTTTTTTTTCTGCGACTCGTTTGTAAACTTTTGAGCTCAGCTGAGCTGAAAATTGAAATTATTTTTCGTTGATTTTTGGTTAGTGTCGGAGTCGTTACCTTCCGAGTTCGGCAATCAAGTTGTTCACACTGCTGGGGGTACTTTTTGGTCGTTAAAGTCGTCGAAGAGAATTCATTGCCAAATCGTGGAGGCGATAGAAATGTGGTGGCGACCGGTGACGATGATTTTAATTATCGTCTTGTTGGCTGCATGGAGACTGAGGAGGTAAGCTGAAATGGTGGTTTTTTTTCGGAAAATTTTCGAGAAAAAATTAAATCATTTTTGAGATATTTTTAAAGTAGGAGAAGTAGGATTGTTATGGTAAGTGAATTGGTGAGAAGTTGTTCTCTCACCATATGAGGGAAATCGTCATAATTTTCTTCACTGTCCGAAGGGGTGACGAAATGATGGGGTTTTCATAGAGTGGCGTCTTAGTTTTGAAGTGAGGTTGAAGTTGTTTTGGTAGGTGAAGTAGTGAGAAATTTAATACACTGGAGTTTCACCCGTTTTACGTGAAGTGGCGCAAAACTCGGTGAAAAACGCGATATCGCGGTGATATGCAGTAGTCGCGAAATATATTTTTTACTGATGTTTTTTATATCGCTAGGGTGAAACTCCAGTAGAATGTTGATTACACATGAAAATGGTTAAGTTTTGGGAAATCGTCGATAATAGTGAGAGAATTTTTGAATTCAGCTGAGATAAAAATACTGGTCTCCAAACCAGAATTTTTTCGAGAAGGCGTTTATAATTTTAATATTTTAGAACGTCGTGAAGTGATTGTATATTGGCCTAGTGCGTTTGTAATAGTTTCTTGACAACCTCTTTGTATGAGCATTTTTATCGCTACAATACACATCATAAAAGTAGAGTTTCTTGACCCTAGTGATATGGAAAACACTAGTGAGAAATATATTTCACGACTACTGTGTAGCGTGAAAATCGCGTTTTTCACGGAGTTTTACGCCGCTTCACGTAAAACGTGGTGTGAAACTCCAGTGCAGGTGGTCGAACAGGAGATGGGCTCGCAAGTCGGCTGTCGAAGCGGTGACGGCGTGTACTCGTCTCGGCAGTGATGGAAGTATCAGAGGCATCCGAGTTCGTGACTTAGCCGTTGAAGTCTTGCACTGGCCTGAGGGGAAAGTACGTACGTATATGGACGAGCTCGTTAAGGAGGAGGCGGACGTGCAGTCTTCGGGAGATGGGGAGTATTGGTCGGATGCTGCGGTGAAGCGACTGGTGGCAACGAGTAAGGAGGGAGGGAGAGGCTATCGCATGTTTTGAATTGATGATTATAGTAATAGTAATGCACTAATGATATTAATGGATTTCTAACGTAGCTGGGGAGAGGCTGAAATGTTGAGTTTGGTTGTTTTGAGAGTATTAACAACAGGTAGACAAGTTTACGGTTGTGAAACTGAAATTGAGCATAGCAACGTCAATCAATATAGGGAAAAACAGCATCAAATGTGGAGCACGCACGAACAAGGCAGAACTAGTGTTGGTGGAACCGGGCGAATTGGACGGCTTCATATGGCAAAAAACGCAAGAGTGGCCTAAGTAGGACTGATACTGCTCCAATACAATGACAATGAATGTATCGTACGCAAGTACATAGCTACTCGGAAAGGCTCGCCCTTCATCGTCCCATGAGAACCCTCATCACATCTTGCTCGTCAATCCTCAATAGAGTCTTATTTGTGATATGAAGAACTAACTCGGAATTTTAGGGTTGATGAAAGATTTTTCCCAATTTTTTGATAATTTACCAACTTTTTTTCCGAAAAAAAGTTGAGTTTGATAGTGCTGGGATTGCCGGAGTCTCATCTGTAATATGAAGAGCCAATATGACATTTTCGAGCCGATGAAATATTTTTTCCCGAAATTTTTGGAAATTTTCTGACTTTTTTCGAATAAATGCGCTTTTTCCTGACTAGTTTTAATGAATTACCCGAAATTTTAATGGAAAAGCTGATCTCTTGACCATTGTGCCGTATATATTTCACAACAAGTGAACTAGACTATTGGCCTTATCATTTCATTTCTTTAGTCTAGGCTTATTGATATTCAAGATTGTTCGAGTTTGATTCATCGGCTACCCTTTAGAATATCAACTCGTATTATGTAGGGGAATAGCCTAGGAAGTATGAGCGGAAAAATCACAGCTTAGCTCAGTAGTGGGACAGCTGAATAATGGGACAGCTAATTGTGTTGAATACTGCACCTTGCGTTCTCTGTATGGCCAGCAACGTATCTGATATGATCGAGTATTGTCTACTAGATGAAAAACTGTTGATGCAAAGAGTGGTATTTTCCAGCAGGAGTGAGGTTAGTTCGATGTCGTCAACACTGCCTACTGATGTGTATGTTTTATGGTAGAAGTTTTTCACCATATTATTGTTGAGTTGAGAGTGAACTGAGGTATAAGGGATTAGATTTCCATCGAGAGAAAACAGACATTGAAAAGGAGGTGTTTATCGCATATTACATCGCAGGGAAAAGACAATGATATGATTTGGGTGGTTTTTGTATTATTATGATGACACCGTGACACCATAGTGATGCAGTGATCCGCATTAGTGCGTCCTGAGACTGGGATATCAGTATACATATTTTAATCCATAGCATTGAATATAATTATATAATACATTGGAGTTTAACCACCCGTTTTACTACACGAAGTGGCGTAATACTCCACGTGAAAAACGTGATATTCGCGATGTGAAGTGGGGAATTGAAAACACTTCGCGAATTACACCGGACAAATCATCACATTTCACGTAAAGCACATTATAATAAATATAACCTAATATTTAGTTTCTTATTATCCCCTTATTAGTATATAGTTATTAATATATTATGATATATAAAGTACATATAATTAGCTTATTAATAGACTACTACTGGTACGGCTATCTAACGGTACAGCAGTATGTGCCATTGGCATGTTCTGTTGTATTACGCGGTACGAGAGGAACAGTGTATTTGTTGAGAAATAGTGTTCGTTACACAATAGTGGTCACGTATATACGACAATGTTGTAACGACATGTATGTCTTATCTCTAACCTCACTGTGGGAGAGATTAAACACTCGCTCTGTTAATCTATGTAATATCTGCTAATCAGATTAACTTAATTCATCTAATCTATTTAATTTAACACACACACTCTATGAAGAAGAAGAAGAAGAAGAAGAAGAAGAATCACTCGCTATATTCTGAAATGAAATAAAGTTGAGGCACACCAAGTCGGTGTCACCGACAACCCTTCGCCATGCTTGTCAGAGCTTGTCATTATTAGTGTATATAACGACATCACAGAAAACTTCTGTTGCATCATAACAGAACACCTATTCCTGGTATGGAAAGTGATAAGTAATTATCCTGTGTGGTTGTACATTACAATCAAGAACTCGTAAATGATGATTGATACTGAAATTCTCTTGTTAAGTTCAGAAAACTAGGCGGGGAAAATAGTCTGCGATATCGCCTACAGAATGATCGCAGAAAACTACAACTCTGCCTTCAACGAAAGTGAACGTCTTGACGACAAAGAAAAAAGAAGGGAAAACGACAATACAATGAAAGAACAGTAATTTTTTAATGGACATTAGGAAAAGAAGAATAACCAAAAAATTGGCGCTCACGAGCCGCTGAAGACGACGCCCTTCGCTGGCGATGCCGTGAACGATGCGAATGACCTTTTTTGGGAACAAATTGAGCCGGTGGGAAATCCAATTCCTTACCACTCCCGAGCTCGAACAAACGTGGCTTAAATGAAGAGCAACTGTTGGTGTTGACAGGACTGTTGCGTAGTAGTCTTATTTGAGCCTCTAGACCTTGAGCATGGGCACTTACAACAACCATATGTTTATCATCACTGATTTGTACACCATTGAATTGATCATAGAACTCCAAGGCATCACTGGGAGTACCAAAATTAACGAAAGCATAACCAATGCTCGTCCTAGTGCGAAAGGTCAAAGGGACGTAGTAGAAGTTGTACCGACCACGAAAGCCTCGTAGTAGATCACTGAGCGTGTCTACAGTGAAACTCGGTGGTAAATTTCGCAGAGTTACGGTAGTAGAACCCGGTAGTAGCCCTGAATCCTCTTCAACAGTGCTAGTGCCTCCAGTGGAGTAAGAGCTGCTAGTAGCCTCGGGAACAGGACTAAGAGCACATTCATCATCGTTATAGGAAGAGAAATGTGCAGATGTAAGTATAGTTGGCGTATATGATGTTGTTGTTGTTGTTAACCATTGAGGGGAGGAAACACTCCGTGGACGAGGACGATGTGGTGTGAAATCAAGGAAGGTGTTTTTCACAACGCACCGATCGGTTTGCAAAGAGGATGAGGAGACAGCTGTTGTCATAGGCATCATATAAGGGGAAAAATAAAATAAGTCGTAACGCTATAAGAAATGAGACTCCTTGGGATCCTTCAGGAACACAAATTGTCCCCTTAGTGTGAACATAACGGCACAAGATTCCCAATGGAACAACTTGACAAGAAGTGACTCTTGGCACGATTCCATTAAATTGATATCAGGTCCGTGTGCGGTTGGGGTTTGCTGCACCAAGCCATCGAAAGGGCCCCTCCATAGCAGGCAGTGTCTTTTCCAACAAACATGACATCGATCGCTCCGCTGGCAGGCTCGGGTAAGGATATAAATATATAAATAAACTAGCAATACCAATATAATACTATCTCCAATATTTATACTTATATTGGAGTTTCACGCGTTTTTCGCGAAGTGAAATGTGAAATGTGCTTTTCACTAGTGTTTTTCACATCACGGGTGAAACTCCATTCATATATAATAAACTATAGATAATATATTATTGGTATGGTACCTATATATATAAATAGATATTAATATTGATATATATATCCCTAAGTACCATAATAGGGTAAGGCTTACCCGGTAAACGCCCAACGCTTAGTATACGTGCCCCGGTTGCGGGAATATCGGTTTATGATGTTGATAGTAGTTCTATTATCGCGGTGTGAAATCTATTTTTCACTTCGCGTAATTCCCGTAGAACACTAGGCGTAGAACTGCAGTACACCTAATAAGGGTGCATCTCCCGTAAATTGCGACCAGTGAGAGTATAACGGACCTCGTACCCAACTGGCGGCCATGATAACGAGGCCCCGTGGGGCTCTTCCCGGCTTCTGAAAGGGTCGACTAGTGACGCCCGCAGCATTGATGCTACTCTTCATGCGGTTGCTATCAGCGAACGCAACGAACCCATATGTATGAGTCATACTATATGACCATGAGAATGGTGGAGGATCAGAGTAGATTTCCCTCCCAGTCTCGAGAAGTGTTCTCGAATGTCATCGTCGATGACCTAGGCTTTATGAATAAAGCGGTTTCGCCGACGGGCGCATTCCGAATGGGAGGGGTATTGAACAAACCTCAAACGGTTTGAGTCAAACCCGAGTCTCACTTTCATCGAACAAAAGAGGTTATTCAACGCTCGTCCCAGGGATACGTAGCCAGGTCACGCAAATTTCCGTCTCCTTAGAGATGACGGGACGATCCCAAGCTAGAGCATTTCTCCGCCAAGAAGCCGTACTCCGTTTATCACTCATAGAAAATGAGCAGAGACCGCCAGTCAAATCATCGGTTCTTCGACGCTTCGCCAAAATCTATGCTCTCAAATATTCACGTGCCGCACAATGTCCCCTACGCATGCACGATGCTAGACCGTGAGCAGCGATGCTAGGCCGCGACTAAAAACGGTAATCGATCCGTCAGGCGCCTGGGTGAGGGCCACACGCCCTACTGGCAGTATGATACTGCGCCGCATGATACGTGAGAAATTTGAAATTTTCTCGCCATATGATTGTGATTATTTTGATCATGCGTACATTGTTTATGCGTACATCATAACAGACAGTTGATTTCGTGGCGGCTCATAATTGCAAATAGGATAAATGGCGAGAGCCAGAGTTTTTCGACTTCATTGAGACCATCATGGCATCGAGTTCTGCAGTCGGAAGCACAAATTGCAACACATCGACCGAAAGAGGTTATTCAACGCTCGTCCCAGGGATACGTAGCCAGGTCACGCAATTTCCCTCTCCTTAGAGATGACGGGACGATCCCAAGCTAGGGCATTTCTCCGCCAAGAAGCCGTACCCCGTTTATCACTCATAGAAAATGAGCAGAAACCGCCAGTCAAATACTCGTTTCTTAGACGCTTCGCCAAAATCTATGCTCTCATATCTACGCATAGATAATCAAAATCTACGCATAGCATGCGTAGGGGACATTGCACGACGCTAGACCGTGACCAGCGACGCTAGGCTATGAATTTGGCCGGCTAATCGGCTCGTCAGGCGCCTGGGTGAGAGTACACACCATACTACGCGTCGTGATACGTGAGGAGGAATTGGAAACTTTCTCGACAAATGATTGTGATCATTTTGATCTTGAAATAGGTGTCATTGGATGTAATTCGCAGTTGTTGTGATCTCCACCTCTAACCGTAGATGATTCGCATCCTGATCATCCTCTCGACTATTATCAATGTTGCGAACAGTGCGGTGTCTTGCACGGTAGACTCTGATTGCCCAAATGGAACCTGCCATTGCACGGGTGGCACATGTACATTTCCATTGTTCTTCATGAGCTGTTTGCCAAAAGAGCCAAACCATTGTCTCTCGTGGGTTGGGTGTAAATGTACAAGAGGTGTCTGCTGCACTTTTTGCAGTTAATCTACAAATAGTGAGGTATATGGTGACCATTGACGGAAGCCGCAGCGCGGCGTGATTCTGTCTTGATCAATCTATGGTGGGAGCCCTGGGTGTGAGTTATCTTATCATACTATGGATCTGTGATGCATCCCAATTATATCTATGATGTTAATCTTAATATCAGTTTCATGCTAAATACTTTTGCTACACTGTATTCTTGTGACGCGACCGTCTGAGGAGTTCAAAATGAACTGTTCATTGCGTCCGTAATACGGACTCCGTACCATAAAAGTAGAGTCGCGAAACTATTAGTACTTCGAATTTTCACAGAAGAACTGCAGCGCCTTCGACTCGGATTTTCGGTTCCAGCGAACTGTCCTAGCTGTCTTCTAATCATAGCGGAGCTATGTTGAGTTACACGAGAGTCAGTCGTCAATATCTTTTCTCGAGGAACTCATAGAGTAGGGCAGAACCGTGTGGCACTGCCACAGTCGGACCGAAAACCGCCACAATTCCTCCTCACGAAAATATCCCTTGGGGTATACATCCGCGCTGCGCGAACAGCTAATATTCGTCGTTAAAATAGTGTGTCTGATGGGACATACCCTATGTCACTGATAAGCGAATGAAGCTTTGAGACTGAGTGTGATTCTTTTGCCTTTCCTAGCAGCAGGGCTATCTGGATTCTTTTCGTAAACTGTTCGATAAGACGTGTCTTGGGTACAGAGGGGTTTGCTTGTGAGTGGTGATAGCGGTACGTTTTTAGGGTGAAGATGTGTTCTAGACTAGAACGTCTAGTGACGGTGTTTTCTGTTGAAGGTGGAGGTACGGAATCACGTCACTGAAGTGAGAATTGCCGTGATCTCAGCTGAGATATTCTAGGTCTCGCCGCTTCGCAAGAGGAGAGAGGATCCTCTACTTCCGACCAACTGGGAGAGGAGAGAGTAGAGGATGACCCTGTTCAAGTATGCTCGAAAGTTATGGAGTTGGACTTGGCAAAGCCGGAAGAGATTATCGCTCGGTTACGATCTATTCGAGAAACCGATAGTTTCATCTATCAGCTGATGAGCTCTTTGATGGGCGAGTCCAAGAACGACTATTTCAGCCGACTTTTGAGCAATGAAGGTCGGTGGTATCACATGGATAGGCATGGTCTTGTTGTCGAGTGTCGGTTCCGAGAAGGTGAAGCTGTACCTCCAAGATTCTGTATCTTACTGCCTAGTGATCCAGAGCTACTGTCTAGCTTTTCTCGTCACTATCATTTGACGAACGCCCATTGTTCTCTGAGATATGATATATCTATACTGGATATGTCATATATCCAGTACCTGTTTACACGGGATTTTGTTGCTCCAAAGTTCAAGCAAGCTGCTTAAGCTGTAATCAGTGAGTGTCCTCAATGTTTCGGGAAGAGGGTTAGATTGGCCGTTTTTGGTGTTCAGAATTCGTACGGTGACTCCACGGTTGATCTTGATGGAGCCTGGAGTAGAGTCTATGCCGACATTGTAGACATGTTGATCAAGGATAGCTTTGGGCTCAGATACTTCCTTGTAATGGTCGACGCCATCTCCAGCTTTTGTTGGCCAGACTATTCGGAGCTCTGAGTCACTCGTACAAGCTCGAATCGGTCTCTGATAGTCGTTTCTCTTCGACTACTAACTCATAATCCGTCGCCAATCGTCGACGATAAGTAAAGTGTAGAGCGATTCCCGATCGGCTGCACGTGGAGCCAATCTACAGACTATTCGGAACTCTGAGTCACTCGTGCAAGCTCGAATTGGTCTCTGATAGTCCTCCTTCGAGTTTCTGGTCCACGTGAGTAAAACGTCTCGTACTTTGATAATAGTTTGGGTTTCAGGTTCCCCCGTCGGGTTTCGAGTGGGGTTTCGGGTTTCCTTTTCTCCGCTTTTGTCTGTGGCTGCACCCACTGGTAGATATCTTTAGTCTCGCTCGCCGATATTGCATGTAACCGTCGGCAGCGTGCCGTAGCCATTTGGCCCTGGAATTAGAACTCTTTTGCAACTATGGCTACTCCTACTTGCGTAACGGCCCGTAGTTTGGGTTCCGCTTGGATTACATCAATAACCCAGATGACAAACCCTGGCTTCTCGAGTTTCTTGGGATCCTGACACAAAACTGAGGCCCGCACAAAAAATTACACAAAATCTACGGAGAAAACCTCGCTCGCCGCATGTGGAATTATCCCGCGAAAATCACTTTATGACGAGAGTTGCATTATATGGGTGATAATAGTTATACGAGTACGAGAAGTTATACGAATCCAAACCCGTATGCAGGTGTGAGCAGTTATACAAGGTTTTTTTGGGAAAAAAACTGGTGAGACGGGGATGCGAGTGACACGCACAGATCAAATCAAACCCGAGCTCGAGCTCGAGACTCGACGGGTAAATCTCTAATACAAGTGCGAAGAGTCAAAGAAGCGCGAAACGTAATACCGGTGCGAAGTTCGCCCTGCGAACTCAAATGGATATGTAGGGATAAATCATAATTTTGTGGCAAGCAACACAATGCTCATTGCCGAGCTTTACGGGCTAGCAGCCGATCGCCCACAAACGTACAATAGCCGGCTCAGAGGCACCTGCGGAGACACTGAGACTATAACCCCATCGACACCAGAGATATGTGGCTGCTACTACTACAACGAGAGAGAAAGGTGAATGATGCAAAGAGGGGGCCAGATATAATACCCAATTGAGGTATTATATTTAGGTTTAAAACTTGAAAAAGAAGGAGTTGAAATGATAGGGAAAGAAATACGACTACTATCAAGACGAAGATATAGACCCCGGGCACCTCGAACATAATATCGCATATTATGCGAAAGTGATGACATCGCACGATATATGCTAAGAGAAACACAGGGAGGAAAACGAACCACCAGAACAGGGTTTGCACGGCAGACAGAATACAGCTGCGGTGGGTTAGGGGAACTTCCCCGTCCGTCGTCGACTTGACTTACTTCCCCTA